TTATTTAAATGTGAAAAGCACTACGCTTATTGCAGACAATTTCAGCGACAGTGGCTAATACTGGTATAACGTCTCGTCTGACAAAAGCGGTGGGGCCAATGGATGAACGGCATAATTATGCAGGCAGACTTTAAGGATCGGAGCAAAAAGTTTATATGTCCCTTTAGAATTCCGTTGAAAAAAAAAAATTATATACACCACGGCCCACCAGACCGCAGCGCCTATTAGCTTGCCCCAGACCTTTTACCCAGGCCGTAGCTTGCCCAGGTTGTCTTACCCTTGTAGGGATGGCCCTGACAACACCCTATTTTAACAAGTAACTTTAAATCTATTTTATAAATTACGAAGCGTTTATCGATATTCTTTGACAGATAGTGAAATCTCTTTATATAAAATAATCATATAAAAAAATGATCAAAAATTATTTTTTTGAAATATTATTTTTTTCCTTAACAACTTCCTGTATACCACTACTTTCATTCCTAAAAAAGTTAAATTACCTACCATACCTTTTTAGTCAGTTTTGACTTTTTAAGCTACCCATTTTTGAAATTTATCTAGTCAACGCTCTTAGTTACCGTTCAAAATGTTTAAAAATAAAACATACGAGTCACTAAATTTAATTCCCCTTTGGATAAAAACTCTCATTTTTCCAATTTTTGAAGCTTTAATTGCAGAAGAGCTATAGGGAAAAATTATGCATGTGAAAATCTAAAATGTAAACGCGACTTTTAATGCAATCATATGGTCTTGTGTACCAAAATCTATATTTGTTGGAAAAGAAACAATAGAAATAGGTACGTATTCATCTGTAATACATTTTAACAATGGCAGAAATGAATCCTTGACAGCTTAGAAAATTTCGGATTGACAGGAACGGTTTCGCACCAAATTGCAAAGAAACTGGATATTTCATGTAAGAAACGCATACCCAAAAAAGCTAATGACAATTTAAAAAAACGAAGAAAATCTATCAGGGCAAATCAGAAGAGCTACAGTGACACTTTAAAAGAAAAAGAACCCATTGGCTCATATGCTACAGGAAATTATTGGGATTAAAAGACTTATTTGTTGAGATTTTTACTTTTTAAACTTTCTTTTGTGTTTTTCTCAGCTTCATTTTTCGAGCATTTCTTGAAAATTTAAAATGTGACAACTTGATGATATTCGGAAAAGTATTGTTCTCAAATTTTCAGTATATGTTCACAACATATATGCACTTTATGTAAGCCTCAGAATTTTTATGAATATACTCTAAATACTGACTTAAACGTTTTAAAATTTCCCACAAAACCGTTGAAAATCTATGGGTTCATCCAAAAATGTTAGCATCTTTTTTAATATTCTGATTTAGGTAAAATCTGACGGTTAAATGGAGTATCTAGATGTATTTTAAAATAAAATAGATTTAATTGAAAACAGAAAAAGACAAATTGACTTGAAGAATTTTGAAATGTGATCAATTTTGCTGATGTTGTGACACTTTTTCCAACATTATGGATTAACCTTATGTAATTTTTTTTTTTTATAAATTAACTTTATTCTCCCCAAGAAACTATATAAACACTTAAATATAGTAGATTTCTTTTTATTTCTCAAAATCCCCTTTTTTAAACGACTACCACGTTAAGCTTTTTGGAAATTGTAATTTTAAAAAGTTTATGTATATTTGAAAGAGACTTTGAAAGGGATTCAAAATATTTTTTTTTGTTCTTTTCTTAAACATTTTAGTAAATCGTTGTACAAAAAAATCGTTAACATTTAAATAACAAAATCATACAATAAGAACTAAGTAAAAGATAATATAGTTATAGAGGTAATTAATTTTATAAAAAGAACGGTGAGACTCGCAGAAGACCGTCAGGTCTTGTCATCGAGAACCGCTCGTACTTTACAATCTCAATAAATCATATTCAAATATAGTTGTATATCTCTATAAAAACTTTACAGCATAAACACATCAAATATTACATGAAATTATTAAACGTTTAAAAATATATTATCCAGAGACAAAATTTTTTCTTTAAGTTTATTTTTAAATGAGAGGTAACTCCATTCAAGAGAAAAGTCAAAATGTTTTAAAACTATTTTATTCCAAAGAAAAGCTCTGAGATATGCAATTTTTGTTTTTCCAAAATTAGTTTGATAAAAAGGTTGCCGAACTAAATTGTCATTTCTCATATTGTATTTATTTTTATTTTTCAAGGTATATAAATTATGGAAAAAAACTGGGGAGAAACTTATTTTACATTTGTACATAAAACAAAGAGTATTAAAAACATTGAGCTGAAATATATTAAAAATTTTCATTTCAGATAAAAGAGGCCTGGCATGAGTAAATCTGTCTTTAAAGTTGATAAGACGAGCATCATGCTTTTGCTGACGATAAAGAGGTTTTAGTTTACTTTTATTGGCATTAGACCAAGCAATATTTGCACAGTTTAAATGATAATGGATAAAAGGAAAATATATTTTGTGTTAAAATTTGTTTATTTAAGGCATTTCTAGCCTTATAAATTATTCCTATTCTTTTAGCAATTTTGTTGTACAAAAAATTAGTGTGGTATTTCCAGCTAAGGTTTTCATCAACATGGACACCTAAAAAGTTAGTAATTATTTCTCTTTTATTTGAATTTTGTCTATAAAAAGTAAGGGCAAGTTAGGAGGCAGTAGTTTTTTTTTAGAAGTCGGATGAAAGAGTGACCTTTTTTTTTTAACCACATTTAGTGACAATTTATTCATTTTGAACCATTCACAAATTTTCTCTAATTCAATGTTCATAGTTTGAAATAATGTTAGAATACATTTATGCGATAAAAAAAGATTAGTGTCATCAGCAAACATGATAGTCATTAAATTTGACGCTTTAGGGAGATCATTGATGTAGATTAAGAAAAGAAGAGGTCCGAGTATAAAATATATGCCCTGGGGAACTCCAAAAAAATAGGAAAATGGTCAGAGATATCACTTTTAATTATACCTTTTTTTTAAGCGATTTGTTAAAAGTATCGGTTGTTATTATATTGTCTAATGAGGTAGCCGATGTTGCAGTTATTCTTGTTGGTTTATCAATTATAGAAAATGCGCCATGTTTAAATACATCTTTAAAAAACTTTTTTATTTTATAATTAGTATCCCGACGGGCATTTGTTTTTAAAAGTTACGTTCTAAATGTGTTTTAAACGTCTTTTAAACGTCTTTTAAACATAAATGTTTAAAAGACGTTTAAAAGACATTTAAAATACATTTAAATCGTAACTTTTAAAAACAAATGCCCGTCGGGATGGTATTGAAAACAGTCCAAATTAATATCATCTATTAAGTAGTATAATTTCTTTTCATGAATGCTTTTACTTAAAATATCATTTAAAAATATATCAAAGTTTTTAATTTGACCAGAGGGTGGTCAATAGCAGTAACTTACAACTTATTTTTTTTTTTTAAATGTTTCATTTTCAACTGTTAAAACCTCTTTATTGTTAAGGGCAGCTGCTTCGAACAGCAATTGCTTCCATAAAGTAATTTAAATCCAGATCCGATTCATGGTTAAGTAAAAAGTCATCTGTTTGCAAAAAATTAATTGATTTTAAATCAAAATTGTTGTTGATTTTCAAATCCATTTTAATTTTTTTTATTATTATTAGACCTCAATAAATAATTTATTTATTCTTTTATTATAAAAGAAGTTCTTTTAGAAATCACGCATTATTAGTTTGTTATAAATAACTTTAGCATACTTACCTTTTTGTCTTAGTTCTTTAGCGTCTGTAAACAACTTTTTTCGTAGCTTGCTTGTTCTTTCACAAAAATCTTTGTTTATAAAAATGCGTTGATTCCAGAGTTTCAATTTATTATATTTATCAAGAATAGCTGTTTTTTCTTTAAAATTTAAAAATTTCACAACGACGGTTCTGTTTTTTTTTTTTTTAATTTTAATTAAAGCTTGGGAACTAGTTAAGAACAGTTTTTTTTTTCTATTTCAATTAAAGCTTAGGAACAAAAATACCCTGAAAATTAGACATTGCCCGCTAAAATGAATGAGAATTTTTTCCCCCACTTATTTTAGCATTGTTTAAAATATCAATTATAATTTCTTGAACTCTTTGAACAATAGTTCGAGAATTTAAAATGAAAAATTTGCCCTTTTAACTCCCTCCCTTCTATTGAGGAGTTTTAACCCCCCTCCCTTGTATTGAGGAGTTGGTAAACTTAACATCGTAATAACTTTTTAACGCCTGGTTCCTTTAAAATCCGGCCAAAAAAAATTTGTTTAATATTAAAGTTATAAAATAAATACAAAGTTCACACCTTTTACTGTTTTTTAAGGCAGATTAAAATATTATGCCTATAGTAGTAACTTATACGCAATCGTCAAAAGCAAATTAAAAAAAAAGGAATTCAATTCAATCCATTTTATAACAAATACTCCTTATTATTAATTTAAAACAAATATATATATATATATAAATCATACGTAATTTTTTTTTAATTTTGTTTTAGGTGTCCCATAAAAATCAAATGGTCTTGTCACAAAGCACGGCGGGAAAGCATTTAATTTGGATGTTAACACCTACTTCTTAACTAATGACGCAAAATATACCAAAAGCTCGCTTTAAACCCTGTATCAATTGCATCTAAAGCAAGCGCTCTAACCATTGCGCCACGGATACTATAGTAATGCTTTATCTAATGAAAATTTAAATAAAGGAAAACCTGTTTTGCTTTGTGATTATTTATAAGTCATGGCCGCACTAAATAACAAGTCGCATAAAATGAAATAATCTTAAATACCAAGTTTTGTTAGTTACCTTACCAAATTAAATTTTATTATTTTAAAAAATTATGCAATATGAAATCCTTGGTTTTCATTCCAAGTTTTGTTAGTAACTTACCAAATTAAATTTTATTATTTTAAAAAATTATGCAATATGAAATCCTTGGTATGCACGCAAAGATTTTAGAACAATTCAATACAACAGAAAATTAAATAAATTTAAAAGTAGCGTTTTAAATAAGCTCTGTATTATTAAAGTTATAAAACTCTTTATTTACATGATTTAATAGTAAGCAACGAAATAAAAAACGTTTCAGAATTAAAAAAAGCAATTGCGCACAAAATAAAAAAATTCTTCACTTGAACAGTTTAGAACACGTATTGAAAACAAATATTTTTCATCAACTTTTTATTTACTAACCCTACGAGTTTAGCTTATATAAAAAATACTTTAGACAGACTTTTTTTGTGACGATAAATTTTTAAAAATAAACTATTTGAAAATATAAGAAATATATTAAAGTCAAATAAAAAAAATAAAAATGTACGGTAGTATACTTTTTTGTCTGAAAATACTTTAAGCCTCAATGATATCTGTAGTAAAAAAACTGAGATCTAATAGTCTAAAATAACTAACTAAAGGCTACCATAGTTATCAGAAATAGCGTGATAACCGTCTGATGGGTCAGCCTCAGCACGAGTCCTACCTCTCACTCCTCGAATACGGTTATTGTCAGTTTGAAGTTGTTTTGTAATATTCTGATCTTTTTCAATCATAGTTTTAGTCTTTTGTCCTTGAGGTCGAAAGGTAGATGACTTATCAAGATTTGTATCAATGGTATCCCTTAAACTTACTGAAGACTTTACATTGTTTGGTTTAGTGTTAAACGCTTGGAGTTCAAAAAGAATATTTGTAAGTTCTGAAGAAATAGTTGACATTCGATTAGAGTCTATCACAAAGCTTTCACGACAGGAAGCATCAGGACTATCACGACAAGAATTATCAGTGCTATCAGGAAACACATCGCTACTTTCCTCGTCATTTTTCATTGTCATCTCGTAGTGCGGGGGTGCAACAGGAAAGTAAACAGGAATAACTTGGTTAGCAGCTCCACTTGAATGCTAAAGCACGACAAATATTTTAATTATAAACCGATTAATTTACATATAAAATATATATACATTATATAATTTGTAACTTCAAGATTTCTTATAAAATTTTCTGTGCTGTACCCACTACTGTAAAAAAAAATTTCTATATCCACTATTGTACAAAATCACTAAAAACTCCTGCGAACGCAAAAAAACTTTTGCTTCAAATCAAACTTTTTTTACATATACAAGTAAATATGGGACATTTACAACAAATTAGGTAAATATGGGACATTATTCAAAATACTTAATGGATGCATTTTTTGCCAATTATTTCATTAGTTTGCTTTACTAATTTGAAAATTTTATCTTGTCTCAAATGTATTAAAAGTCTATTTATATAAACCAGCGATTGGCATTTGAACATCAAGTCGTTAAATCTTTTTCAAAATACTTTTCTTTCAATAAATATTTTGTTATAACATCTTGTATACAATAACAAATAAACAATACTAAACTTCTGTCCAAAAGAACCTAAATCTTGCCAAAAAAACCCTTGCTTTTCCAGTATCCAAGCTAAATCTTTTAAAATTATAAGGAAGCTACTTCGTTACAGGTTACTTCTGCATAGTTTGACATTATATAGTTAACCTAGTACTTTAAAATGCATGCGTTTAATTATAAAAATATTATCAGTTTTTCAAATTAAAATTTCAACAGAATATATCGCTGATTAATAAAAGTTATTCAGTTATCTATAAAAATTAGGCTTCACTAATACTTTCAAACCTCTACTAATACTTCCAAAATTCTTTTAGTTTAAACAGTTGAAGTAATGGTAAATTACCTCAAACCTAGTAATTAAATTTAGAAAAAATACTTTATTTGAATTAATTCTATCCGACTAAAGTTAATTTATAAAATATGAAATTTTAAAACATAATGAAAGTTTTCTTTTAATTAAACATCATTTATTAATATTTAGAGTAAACATTAAAATTTCTTTCGGTACTTTTTTCAGGATAGAATATCTTAGTTATCATTTTGTACAATAGTGTATTTAAGTCATTTTTAAACAGCAAGCAAGAAAATAAAATTATTAATTAAAAAAACCTTATTAAAAATCTTTGAAACCCCTATAGGGGTTGGAAAAACAACCTAAAGCTCATTATACTGTAATGTTTAGGTTGCTTGGACTTATAATTTTATTAGTTTGTAGGTTACAACTTACTTTCTCAATGGAAACAATACTACTAGCTCTACTGTTTATATGCTGTAATGGCTTTTTATTTTTGTAACTACCGTCATTTGAATACTCATCAATTTCAAGATTTCTATGTTTTCGCCGGGGTAGAGAGTTGGCATTTCTATTAAATGATTCGTACTTATGATTGGAATCAAAGGTGGAATGAGACAAACGAGCCAAATTTTCTTCATAAATAATTTCTGGTATATCATGGGATACTTGTGTGTTGAGTAAAGGTTTCATTTCACTACTTTGTCCTACACTAAATTAAAAAACATATTTTTATATAACTTTAAAAACACAGACTAGAAATATTAAATTAAATATCAAATGTTTTATAAAAAAGTAACACTTAGAAATATTATAAAGCAAACATTAATAGTATATTATAAGAAACCTTAAAAAGGGAAAATATTTAGAGTTTTTTACCTTATTTTATCAACTAGGTTAATAATGTACCAATAAAAACCTATTTTAACAAGATGCACATAGTAATCAACTTGTTGGCACTCATGACTGTGCAATATTTTAATAAGCTATGAAATATTTAAATGAAAGAAACCTGCATGGCGACGAGAAAAATTAAAGAAATTGCATAGCAACAGCAAAAATAAAAGAAAATGCATAGTTTAAACACCAATTCACCTTTGTACCCCATACATGTCTGCAAAAGAATTATCCCACTCAAGCTGCTCAGAAGAGCTTTCAATTGTGCGAGTTGCATGTGAAAGCCCTTGTGCAGAATCACTAGAAGGCAGATTTTTTGACAAAGGTTTTAAAAGACTTTTCCGTTGTTCCAATGGAGAGGAAGCTAATGTTTCCAAAGTACTTCCATGGTTACCAGATACAGTAGTCTACAAAATTACAAAAAAATGTGAATGCAAAAAATTTAAAAAAAAATTATTAAAAAAAAATTCTAATTTCAAACATACTACTACAGTATCTTTTGCAGAATGGCTTGTTCTTAATTTGGGACTTTTAATACCAGCTTTCTAATAATGAAAGTTTTAAAATGAATCTGAAAATTATACAAAATATGGAATAAACATTTTGAAATAATAACACTATTAACACTTCAATTTACAACAATTACCTTTCTATCGAAAAATCCATGATAGATAACTAGATAAATACCCTAAAAATTTACAAATTAGATCATTTAGCTAAAAATTTAAATAGGTTTATAAAATACCATTTCAAATTATTTTCAAAAAGCTTTTCAATTAATGTCTTTATTTTTACTTAATTTAAAAATCAAAACAAAAAAATACCTCTATAATAGCAATGACACCAAAAATATGATGGTATAATGTATTTGAATTAAAATGCAAAAATGTTGTTACACTTCCCAACAGCAAAACATGAATGAGTAGAAGAGCTTTTGAAAAGTGGAGTGCACGCCTGTTATACAATTTAAGTTTATAAAATTTTGGAATAAATTTAAAATCGTGATTTTAAATTTAGGAATTATTTAAATTTAGTATCAGCTTTTTGAAACATTGACAAACCTGGTATGAATGACAACATAAGGGTTTAGAAGTTCTTTATTTCGACGAATTGAAATATAAATCACTAAATGCATCACTAAGGTAGCCTAAAACATTTAAATAATTATTTTAGAAAAAGATTATTAACAACTGCGGACTGAAAGTCGAATGCTTTTTTTTTTTTTAATTAAATTATAATAAAAATATAAACTCAAACTAGTATATTTTAAAAATATTTAATCACAATTGATTCATTATTTTAAATGTACCAATATAAGAATTAAAGAAGGCATTCCAACTGCTATGCCAACCAATTCGAAAGAAAATCTATGCAGAGTACACCTGAAATTTATAAAGTTTGAAAAAAAGTGTTGATGCAAAAAGTAAAAAAAAAATCTATACAAGATAGCTTAAATTTAAAAAGTTACCGTAATTGCAGATTAAACTTGTTAAAGTAAACTAAAACTACACTGATTGTAAGAAGCACAATTGGTATACCTAATAAAAAGAAAAACTTTTTCAAGTTCAAATAAAAAACAGAAGCTACTATTTATTCATATTTACTTTAAATACTAAAGAAACTATAACAAAGCAACTTTATTAGTGGCTTGTTATAAAGTACTTTAAAAAATCCGCTGTTTTAAATGGAAAAGTTGCTTTTACAAGTTTTTAACAGTAACTTTTCCATTTGCATGGAAAACTTGTTGTTAAAAAAAGTCAACAAAAATATCTAGTAATGAAGTTTTTTTTCTGTAAAAAATTTAAGTGATGAATTATTCTTTGAAGTCTACTTTCAAAAATCCACTGGATTTGCATGGAAAATTTGTTAAAAGAAAGTACAATAACCTTTGCCAAATATATATATATAGATTAGGGGTTGTCCATAAATTACGCCACGCTTTAGGGAGGGAAGAAGAGGTGATTTTGTGACAATTTGTTACGAGGGGGAGGGGGGAGTCTTGATTTTGTGATGCAACATTTTTTTTTTAAGTTTCAAATCTAGAGAAGACTTTCTTTTAATAAAAAGACTTAACCAAACCAAAACCCTCAGTTGATGTATCCACATGTTGACTGTAAAATCAACTACACCTAAATTTTACTTAGTCAATGTGTACACTCCGTTAACGGAGTAAAAACAGCCTGTTAACGGACTGTAACAATCTATGCAGTATACGTTTTGCGCTTTAACTTTATATGGTACACGTGTAGAAATTTATTTAGTTGGTGCACAAAAGTGTGCAGCAACAAAAAACAACCTTTTTGCACTTAAAAAAATAATAACAATAATTTTGATAACCCCTAGAACCCTTGGTTTACTTGCCTAAAGCAAGTAAACCAAGGGTTTCACTAAAAAAATTCCATTTATAAAATAATATTTATGAATGTATAATATATTATTATGTATTATTATGTATTATATATTATATATATATATATATATATATATATAATATTTTGCATGTATTAAATATCAGAAGAATAGATTTTTAAAATTGGTATCATGTTTAGGATAGCCATGTTAATTTAAGGGGCAAAAAAAGTCAAAAACTGCGTTGAATAATTTATGGACAACTCTTTATTTAATAATGCTATATAGGTAATTTTTTCCCAAACAATTTTTTTTATTTTATCAATTTAATTTTTTTATTTTATTTGCATTTGTTTTTTAGTATCTTATCATGTCATTAACTTGAAATATTGTTTTTAACAATTTATTCAAGTAATGATTAGCCACAAAAATAGTAATTACCAAAAATAATTTGAATGATTTGTAATAAACAAAATATACAAAATATTTTTTTAAGAAAGAGGATTTGTTGGATTGAATTTAAATTTTACGAAAAGTATTTAAAATAATACTACTCATTTTACGTTAATATAAGATGTTACATTAACTAACGCAATGAAAAAAATATATATATTCTTACCCCATCCACAAAAATAAAATAAAATAAGATGTCTTCCTCCTTTATCAATTGCAATTCTTGTGGAAAAGTAGAGCTGAATGGATTCAGCAAAAATCCATCCAAAAAAACCAACTCCCATAATTTGGATTGTACCAAGAAGGGAGAAACAAAAATACTATAAAAAATAAAAATCTTTATAGTCACAGAAAATTTGTGAAGATAATTTGTTCAATATGAATATTTTAAAAATAATTATAAATCATTATTCAGTAAATTTACTATTCATAAATATAAAAGATAAAACTGAAATTTAGAAATTAAAAGTGTAGGTATTAATTGAAAGAATACCTACACTTGTAGGTATTCTTCCTGTTACAACTAAAGTTAAAGAGTAAATTTTTCAAAAAGTTGTTATTTAATAACAACTTTTTGAAAATGTATTCAAAAAATAATTTAATGAACTTTACTAGTAAAAAGTATAGTAATAAATATAATAGATTAACTAGATTAATTTAAAATATCAAAATATAATGTTTTTATAAGTCAACAGCAATATGTATAGTAAGTGACCAGGCTCCGGCTAAAAACAGTGGTTTTTGCAAACCCAACCCAGGCCCCGGCTAAACAAACAGAATTTGCAGGGGTTACTAGCCGGGGCTGGATTTTTTTTGTTGTTGTTGTTTTTTGTTGATTTTTTTTTTTATTTGTTCAAGTTAAAATTTAATATGAACGTTTAATAAAATATAAGAAAAAGTCACAAAAATAAATATATACAAATATAATATAATTCATAAATATTTACAATGACAAATAAGAAATAAGACACTTTATAATAATTTAAGTTTCTTCCTCTGGTTCTGATTCTGAATTATTTTCTAGTATTTATCAATTTCTTTACATTTAAATACTTGAATAGCTTAACTATGTAATTCTAATGATTAAAATTACAATTAAAAAGTTACTTACATTTTAAATGTAAATGCAATTTTACAATAAATTTCTGTTATGAAATTTATTTTAGGATATTTTAAACACCCTGATTGTTAGCAATTTTTAAATATTTTTTCAAATTATTAACTTTGTTTAAAAACTTCAAATAATCAATTTATTACATGATGGCCACTGACTTTTCTAGAATATCCATGTTGCTGGCTTGTTTGTTCTTTCGAATAAAGTAAAAGAATAAAGTAGATCAGATGGATATATGGTGTCTTTAAAAGATAGGAAAAGAAGCAATGATCTTAGAGAGAGTATGAGAGTAGTAATTATATTTATAGTGTGTATCAGAGAAGATGATACTGATGCCAATGATTAAGATGATGATGATGATCATTGTCATCATCATCATCATCATCATCATCATCATCATCATCATCATCATCATCATCATCATCATCATCATCTTAATCATCATTATCAACTATATGCTTGATGATGATGATGATGATGATGATGGTGATGATGATGACGATGAGATGATATATATACCTTTATATAAAATATATCATGAATTTTAAATAACAATAATATATTTATAAGGAAAATCAATACCAATGCAGCCCCGGTCATAAACCCGGCCCTAGCCTCGGCTATGTTTTATCAAACTTAGCCCCAGCCACGGTCAAATATCAACCCCGGTCGCTTACTAAATATGTATAAATAATTCAGTGGATGTTTTTATGATTATTTCAGTAGAGCTTAAACTGTATGTATGACAGGGTGTCTACCAATATTTTAATATGAAATTCATTGATTTTTTTCTGATATTTCTCTGATCTACTACCTGTTTTCCCTAATTTAATTTTAAGTTACCAAACTCAAGTCTTAAAAGAAAAAATCTTTTCAGAAAAGCCCTCTTTAATTACAAAAATATAAATGCTGATACAATAGATATATAGACTATCACAAGCAGTTCCTAAAACTATCTGCCTATAAAAATTTTATACTACGTGTATGATATACAACTTATAAAAGTTACGTAGTTTTGATGATGAGCCATTTTCCCTGATAACTCCCTGATTTTTCCAAAATTCAAACCAATATCCCTGATTGTTCACTGATTTGTTTGCAGATATTTCTAAAGCTTTTGATAAAGTTTGGCATGCTGGTCTTCTCCATAAGCTTTCTTCTTATGGTGTATCTGGTAACATCTTTAAGATTATTGAGTCCTTTCTTTCCAATCGTAGTATAAAAGTTGTCCTCAATGTACAACACTCTTCTTCACATCCTGTAACTTCAGGGGTTCCTCAAGGTTCAATCCTTGGCCCTATACTCTTTTTAATTTACATTAACGATCTTCCAGATATTCTCACATCTAAGGTGGCATTATTCGCTGACGACACTACCATTTACTCTTGTCATGATAAGAAGCCTACACTCTCTGATTGCCTGGAGGGGGTATCTGAGCTTGAAAAGGATCTCACTTCTGCTACAGCATGGGGGTCACAGTGGCTGGTGAACTTTAATTCAGATAAAACTCAATTTCATTCGGCCAATCATTATCGTAATAATTTAGATCTTCCTATATTTATGAATGGTAATGTACTAGATGAGTCATCTACCATTCATCTTCTAGGATTAACTCTTACTTCTGATCTTTCTTTTAAACCGTATATCAAATCCATTGCAAAATTAGCATCTGCTAAGGTTGCATCTCTTTATCGAGCTCGATACTTTCTTACTCCAGATTCTATTCTCTATCTCTATAAATCTCAAATCCGTCCCTGTATGGAATACTGTTGCCACATCTGGGGCAGATCTTCTAATGATGCTCTTTCTCTTTTAGACAAGGTGCAAAAACGCATTGTAAACATAGTTGGACCTGCTCTGGCAGCCAATCTCCAACCTTTGTCACATCGTCGTGATGTTGCTTCTCTTTCTCTTTTCTACAAATACTATAATGGGCACTGCTCTAAAGAGCTAGCGTCCCTTGTGCCATCTACTAAAATTCATTCTCGTGTTACTCGCCATTCAATTAATTCTCATCCTTTTTCTGTGACTGTTCCTAAGTGCTTCAAAAACTCTTATTCTTCTAGTTTTTTTCCTCCAACATCAGTTCTTTGGAATTCGCTTCCTTCATCTTGCTTCCCTGATTCATATAATTTGCAATCTTTTAAGTCATCAGTCAATCGTTATCTTGCTCTACAGATTTAGTCTTTTCTCTTCCAGTAACTTCCAACTCTTATAGTGGTTGCTTGCAGCCTTGTTGGAAGTGAAGATGTTTAAAAAAAAAAAAAAAAAAAAAAAAAGATATCTCAATAACTAGACTTTTCACTGATTTCCCTGATTTTACACCTTGTATAAATAATTCACTGGATGTTTTTATGATCACTTTAGTAGAACTTAAACTATATGTATAAATACTTCACTAGATGTTTCTATGGTTACTTCAGTAGAACTTAAACTAGTAAACTAAAATACAACTTGTAGTTGATTCTTTTTTCTTTTTTTAAGACTTGCAAAAAACAAAAAAACATTTTTTTTTTAGACAGTTAATTTTAACATAAAAATGAAAAGTTTATAAATAAAATATTTTTTATGTTAAAAGCACATGTAATGCATAAATTTTGTATGTAAAGCTATGTATGTAATGTATGTATTGTATGTTATATAATACTATAACTTGTTTAAAAAAAAAACTGAATCAAAAAATTTCATATATATAGTTTAATTATAGTAAATTTAGTTATAAAAAAAATGAAGACTAACTACTATTTTTAAAGACTAACTAATATTTTAAGGAATTTTTTTTTTTAATTTAATAACAAGTTGTAAAAACCACTTTATGTCATTATAGCAAATTTATAATGGCTTTTAAAAAGCCTCATTGTCTAAATATTTTAGTGCTATTCTTTTAACTCTTGTTTTGAAAGAAATACAGCAAATAATTTTTACATTAATTTTTAATATTTTATGGCTGCAGTTTTAAAAGTAATTAATTAAAAGCACAACTCGTCAAAATCTCAATAATATAATATAACCTTAGAAGTTTAAGTTGTGGGATTTGTATGATTTTATATTTATTTTATATCTATATTAGAATATGACATACACCGTCTTATTTTAATAATAAATTTTTCAAAATCTTAATGTATAATAGTAATTTAATTTATTATAACTTGAATAACTCACAGAATTTAGTGTTTGGGGAACAAGCTGAAGATATGACATTATAACGCCTCCAGAGAATGCAACAATACTGAGTATTAAAACCAAGTTTAAATTACAAATGATAGTTTGTCGTGAAGACTTCCAGTAACTACAAAATGTAAAAAAAAAAAAAACTAATGGGAAATGATAGTTTTAAATATTTTAATTGAAAAAAAAAATTTACTTTAATTTATAATTTAATGTAATACATTTTATGTATTATGTAGGAATCAAAAGATTGTAGGTAAGAATTAAAGGAGATTTTTAAATTTTGTAAATTTTTCTAGTATCACAATAAAAATACATTAGTAAAAACTTTCATATCATATTTAAATTAAAAAATAGCATAATAGAAACCCATTCAAACCATACAAGGGTAGGAACTAGATTTGAAAAAAAAAATCTGGATTTATAAAAATATTTGACAAATACTGGTTTGCAAATTTAAGTTTGCAGCAGTAAATAAAACGACTTCCAGCCATTTTACCTACAGCTGTAACTATGACAACACAAGTGTTAATGTGTAATAAGTATTAGCACCAGCCCTAAAGCATAATGAAAACAAAATAGAACATAATACTATGTTATAAAAAACTTTTATTTTGAAAAAAATAAATACAAAAACCAAACCTTGAGCAACAAATGTGAGAAACACATATCAAAAAAGCTAACACAAGTAAACACAAAACACCAACTGCAGCTGTCAGAGTGAATTTTAAATTTACAACTCTGTTTTCAGAATACTAATAAAAAACAAATTACAAAATAAATATTATAATAAAATACTTAATTTATAAAACACTTAAATTAATTTTTAAAATTAATTTTAAAGTTCTAAATGATTATTTATTATTAAAATAATAAACAAAACTTTTATTGTCAACTAAAAATAATTACTACCAATTTTTGATTTTGCTATTCCTGATTTTTAATCTATTTATCTATGCTTATTATTCTGATTTATCACACAAAAATAAAATCAAGACAACTGCAACAAAAATAAAATCAAGACAACTGCAACAAAAATAAAATCAAGACAACTGCAACAAAAATAAAATCAAGACAACTGCAACAAAAATAAAATCAAGACAACTGCAACAAAAATAAAATCAAGACAACTGCAACAAAAATAAAATCAAGACAACTGCAACAAAAATAGCAGAAAAAAGTTACCGGTAATGCTTGTGGCACTATGACTGCAAAATTTGTAAGATGCAAGCATTCGCAAAGTATTTCTAAATTTGAAGAAGCATTAGATGCTTTGCAGTTGTCACTTGCCCATCCTCCACTATATGGTCTAAAAGTAAAGAAATTTAATAAAAACATATTTCAAAAGGCAACTTTAATCAGTAATGATACAAAAATGTTGCAAACCTTTGAAAGTCCCAATATGAACATTGTATTCCATTACCAACTACCTAAGTTCAGACAAAAATAGTTGATATTTAAATGTTACAAACACAATATAATGAATCAATAAGTTAAGAATATAAAGAATTATAAAAAGTTTAATTTGAAATTTAAAAAAAAAAAACAGAACAAAAATTTGTATACCTGATTTAGTTTAAATCTGATTTCAAGTGGTTTTATTAATGCTTTAGATAAGTGAGAAAAAGAAAATGAGAAAACTTGAGAACCAATAATTGGACTAAAACAAACAAATAAAAAACTAATTTACAACAGCCAAACCATCATGCAAGTAAATTATAAATAATAAGTTCTACCTTAAAACATTTTCAACTTTAACTTTTGGTAACAACTTGTCAAGGTACTTATAAATAATAGCTATACTCATAGAACCTGTCAGGTAAAAATAAAAACAAATTTAAGAAATCCATTATAATTTTTCAATAACCTTATTACTATTTTTTATGCATTTTTCAACATACTTATGCAATAATCTAAAATATGACAACTTACTTTCTATCACTGGATAATTGGTGTTTGGTACTTTGACATAAACACCAACACTATCTTTAATCATAGAAAATTTTAAAGCTTCGTCTTTATGGTAAGTTGTCACAGGTTGAATATTAATGTCTGTTAAAAAAAGACAAGTCATTTTCTAATCATGCAAAACACTAAAGCTGGCAGAACACAAACACATAAATAAAAAACCAAAAGCTCACTAAACATATGGCACAAATATTAAAAAACTTACTCACAAAAGATGTATATAATACATAAAACCTTAGAAAACACCTCAAAGATAACATAAAACTTATTTAAAAATCATAGAAAACGAAATTTTGCTATTACTTACCTAAATTTTCAAATGTAATAGCAAATAGATCAGTTAATTGATTCTTTTTAATTGGACGTACTTTATTTACAACATATTCTTCTGTGTATTTCATTAAAAGAATACTTCCATTTTTTTTCTAAAAAGAGATTTTCTATTTAATTGAAATAAGAATATTATTTTAAAATTTAAGTCCGGGTTATTTCAGATAGAGAGGGCTGTGAAAAACACACTTTATTTTATTTTAAAGGTGTAGTAAGGCTTTATAGTTTTTTTTATAGTAAAAATATAAATTCCAAATATATACTTTGTTTATTTCTGCCCATTCTGTTTTAAGATCTAGAGTCAACACAGAACTGACACTTGCAGCAAATATCTAAAATAATATACTCTATAAATTATTTGTAATACCATAGATTAAATACCAAACTTTCAGAGACAAGCAGAATCCAAAGCCTGGCTATCTAAAGAAAGTTGGAGCTGAAGTCTGTAAAACACTAAAAAAATAATTTAGAAACTCTAATAAGTTTATACCTGAATACAGTTGACAGATTTATCTTTTTGATTTTCGTTAAATATAACTTCGTTGCTCAATTGAACAGCTAAGTGTAAGGACTCTATTAAGCGAGACACTGCATCAAGCCTCCAATTGTAATAGGGTAACTTAGATATAATTCCAAAATTTTTTCTCAGTGCCTGCAGGTAACTTACTTCATCGATAATAGAATTTTTGTACTTGGCCATCTGAAATTATTTTAAATTTTATTTAACTTATTTTTCTGCTATACTATTTTTATATAAATACATTTGTAGAAAGATAAATCTAAATATTTGAATTTATATTTGTAGAAAAAAAACCTTTAAATTTGTAATTTAAAAAAAATAAAATAACAAAAGTACCAAGTTATCCAACCAAAAAAAACTCTGAGGTGCAGGTGTTGTTATTACTTTATAATTGGTTGCAATTTTTTCATGCTCACATTTTGAATTAACCATAAAAAGACCTTCATTGCATTGACATTGATATGAACCAAAGTTGTTAACACATTGAGAATTTACATCACAAATAGTATTTTTATTAACAGAATTATCATCATTATATAATGTTTCCCCCTCACATTCATTAATATCTAAAAAAACAAATATACAATAACTCTATAAATCAAATCAACTTTGTACATTTTGTACATTAGTTATATATCAATAATAATTATCTACCATCACACAATGGAATTGTTTCATTCCAAGAACCAGATTCTAAACAAGATAAGTGACTGCTCCCATTTATTCTAAAACCATCTTTACATTTGATAAAAACAACTTCATTTTCAACAAAAACATGTTTTTCTATGATGTAATTTTCATTTTCAATCATGTCAAGAGAGCATGTAGCTAATAAAAATATAAATATACATGTTATACTAGACAAAACTTTCAAAAATTTTATTAACTCTTTTTAGATGTCTCTGCACTAACTATTGCCCTTTCATATAACTAATTCATAAATACAATTCTGTTGGAATTGTTTGCTTGTTTTTTGTTCAAAAAAATATAGTTTATAATATAATTTAGTTATATAAAACTAATATATAAAATGTCTTGAAAACCTAAAATATCCCTTAATCTTTTATTTAAGGTTTTTTTGTCTCAATAATAATATGATTGTGAAAACAGTAATGAATTTGCTATAAATTGATAAAAAAAAAAACTGGTTGGCTAATGGTTAATGGAAAACTTATTACCATTTGTTTGAGAAAAATGTTTTATTATTTTCCAAATATACTCAGTTTTCGGAGAAAAAAAATTATTAAAAAAAAAAAAAAACAAACCTTGAATTTGAAGTTCAAAAATTCCTCTATCAATTCCAACAACATTCTTTGCTTCACATATATATGTTCCAGCATCTTCTTTTTTTGATTTTAAAAAGATTAATCTTTCTTTATTACTGATAGGAATTTCTTCAGTATTATCAAACAGCTTATACCACTGAATAATAGGCGTTGGATCACCAACAGCGTTACAAATAATCTCAATAGACTGACCAACCAATATATTTGACTTGACTGCAGAAAGTGTTATTTTGGGAACACCTAATTAAAAATAGGTTTTTTTCTGAGCTTTAAAAAAAAAATAACTAAAATAAAAAAAAATTAGTAATTTATTTGACTATCAGATTTAACTCAACTTACTGTAAATATATAGTTGAGCAGAAACATTAGTAATTAATCCTGGACTAGTTGATACACATATAAAGTTTCCTTCGTCTGCATCTTGTGCATTCAGTACAAGAAGACTATTGTTATGCAAAATACTATAACGATTGTTCAAAACAATTTGCTCAGGTTTATTAGAATTTAGACTGTGAAAATACCAAGATGTTAAAGGTGGAGGAATACCTTCTGATTGACAATCAAATAAAACAGAATGTCCATGCAATGATATTTGAGAAGTTGGTACATAAGTAAACTTTTGTGTCACTAAAAATAACATTAAAGTTTTTAATTGCACAATGAAAACTTAAAAAATGGTTTGATACATAATATCTTCAACAAATTTTTTATCCACTTAAATTTAATTAAATCTATTGATAAAATGTTTTTAGCCATATATGCCCAGCATTTATGGCTAAACATAAAGACCTATGGTAAACATAATATATTAAATATATTACGTTTACCATAGATCTTTTTTTATTTATAAATACTAAAAAAATAATATCATTAAAAAAATTGTTTAAAATAAAAAAATTTAAATTTTTTAAATATAGAGTTTTATGTTCAAAAAAAAAATCTGATATATAATTGTTGAAGTATAATTTATATTTTAAAATGTATATATACATATGTGCACCAGTGTGAGTGAGTTTGTGTGTGTATATACACATCTTCACATACTTAGCCTTGCATAAAATGCCAATCATGACATCATATTAAAATAGCCATCTAGGAGTTTCAGAACATTCATCAACTAAGGATTTAAGTTTGGGCATCTAATATCTAGATATGAAGGACTTTTACTATAGCCAAAAAACATTTTTTTAAAATTATTTTTCTGAAAAAAATTGGATTTAAATTTTATATATATATATATATGTGTGTGTGTGCGTGCACGTGCATGTATGTGTGTGTTTGTGCGTGTGTGTGTGCGTGTATGCATAAAAAATAGTCTTAAAAAGTACATACCTATAACATTTACTTTTGAAGAAACATTTGTTGACATGCCAGGGCTATATGCAACACAATAATAATTTCCTGAATCTTTTATAGTTACATTTTTAATAACCAAACTGCCATTTGGAAAAACTTGGTTATTTTCATTGCTAATTATTGTTCCTTGATCATTATCAAATATACTATTAAAAACCCACAAGTGATGTGGCATAGGTACACCAGTTACATTGCAATCAAGTATATGATCAGAACCATACAAAATATTAGCATCAGTTGGTTTGACTAAAAATTCTTGAGTAACTGCAAAAAATAATTAAAAATTTTAAACAATAATTTAAAAATAAAAAATAATTTATGAGAACTTCTATTTTAGTAAATTTTAAATGACTTATAAATGTACCATAAACATCAAGTTCAGCTGAAACATTTCTAATCAACCTTGGACTTTTAGAGACACAGATATATTCCCCTATGTCATCATAAGTTAGATTACAAACTGTCAAACTATTTTGATCAGAAATAAAATATTTATAACTATTTTTGATTTCATTAGTCTTGCCATTTAATTTATAGTACCATGATACAAGAGGTTTAGGTTGACCTTCAGAAACACATTCAAAAAAAGCATCATGACTGTATAAGACTTTTTGCAATTCTGGAACTTTTATAAAACTTTGAGTCACTAAAAAAAGGAACAAAAATACAAAATAGCAATAATATACAAAAGTAAATAAAATAATATAAATAAAAAAATAATAATAAATAAAAAAAATCTTCAGAGTATTAATCTAAATTTAAAATCTTTTATATAAAAAATAAATTGAAAAGAAAAATTCTTCTTAAATGTGAGCTAGTTTTCTTATAAAAAGATAAATTCTTCTTAAATGTGAGCTAGTTTTCTTATAATTTAGTTGAAAAATTTTTTCATTTTTATTCCCATAACTTCACAAACTTTAAATTAAAATCTTTTCAAATAAATTCCTTCACAGAGGAGCAAGTTGAGTAGATACAATCAGGAGGTACAAAATAAATTCCTTCACAAATGAGCAAGTTGAGTAGATACAACCAGGAGGTAGAAAATAAATTCCCTTCACAGAGGAGCAAGGTGAGTAGATACAACCAGGAGGTACAAAAACAGGTTTAATCTCAAAACTTTCACACAAAAGATCAGTACTTTAACCACTGTGTCACTATCACATAAGCGCATAAACATTTATACTATATACTTAGCTGTGCATATAACAACACTGATGACTTAAAATGACCATGGCTGCGAGTTTCAGTACATACATCAACTGGGAGTTAGGGTGTAAGCAGGCAGTATTTACCAGCATTTAAATTTAAGTAAACTTTTCATTTAAGTAAATTAAGACACAAAATATAAAAAGTAATGATGTAAGTTATATTAGCTTAAGAGTAGTTTTTTAGTATAAGACAAATGATTTAAGAAATAAATAGTTTAAATAAGTGTAAGTTTTTTAAAATAAGGGAATTTTTTTTTTTAAATAATACATTTAAATCTTATTGATACTTTTTTTTTAAACAATATTTATTATTAAAGATACTATTAGAATATTTTATAAAGATAAAGAGTTGAAATGATTTTAATGTGGTTTCAAACCAAAATATGCCACTGACATAATTTAACTTTTAACGATGTAAACATATTGAATAAAGTTACATTTACTTGCTTTACGCAATAAAATTTTACAAGGCTTGTACTGGGTCCCAATCCTCTGCTATACAAGCATTAAAGAGCTTGATTAGCATGATGAGTAAATCATCAATATCCCAGCAACAAAATTTAAAAGAGTCAATGTAACATATTTTGCATTGCAAATAAAATTTTCTACTTTTACAACATTATCTGTATTATATGTAGAGATGTGAGTCGTTTATTTTAGTTCTTGTTTTTTTGCAAAAAAAAACTTGTTTTTTTTTGGCCATAAAAAAAAACATGTGATATTTATTATAAGAGAGTTTTCATTCTTTTATTTAACTTATGATTTTATTAGTATTGCCTTTAAAGTTTTTAATGTAGCAGATTCCCACAAAAAATTAAAAAGTTTCCTAATTTTTTTTTTTTTTTTATAGTCAATTTTAAAGAAGAACTAAACAGAGATTAGTAATATGAAAACTGTTCTTGTAATTTAATTTGGTTTTTTAAGTAACTATGTTTTAGTGCACCATAGTTTTTTAGACATTCTTTTGGAAAGTAAAAAACGTCTGGTTTTTATAAGAAACTCAAGATTTAAAAATACCTTGTTTATTACTTTACCATTGCTCAAAAAATCAAAGGTTTTTTTTTTTTTTTTTTTATATTTTTAACTCCTTTAACACTTTTAACTTTTAAAATTTAAATATCACCTAAAAATAAATATCACCTAAAAATAAATATCACCTGAAAAATGTGTTTTTAGGTAATATTTATTAAAAGACTTTGTCATTCTCCTATTTAATGTACCATTTATCTGTCTTGTTTAACAAGTTCTTCAAATGTTCATCAAATAACTTTAATAATTGTTCTTCAATAACTTATTAATAATAAGCTAAAATAATATTGAAAAAATTATTTGAAGAAAAAATTTTCTATCATAAGTAAAGATGTCTTTTTTTTGTTTGTTTTTTTATGTAGATATGTTTTTTGAGTTCAAAACAATTTTTTCATAACATAAAAAAAAATGTTTTAATAGAATGAATTAAAACTAGTTTTTTTATTTATCGAATAAATGAAAACTTTTTTAATTTGTAAATGAAGTTTTTTAATTTATAAATGAAATAACATTGCATTGCAAAATTTATAAGTATTGCACAAGTTTTGCATTTTTTTTTTTTTTTTTTTTTTATTAATTTGCTATCTTATTTTATGCTTTTTGTTGTTTAATTTTATTTCTGTCATTTCAAATAAATTAAATTTGATAACATTTAATTTCAGAAAAGAACAAATAATTTGTTAACCATTTTAGCAATAAAAAAATCAGTAATTCAACTCTCTTGTGAACTCTGTTCACACTTTAATTAAAATAGATTAATTTTAATATAATCTAATATAGAATCTAAAATACTCAAACAAAACTAAATCGAAACATTTTAGATAAGTTGGAAAAAAAAGTAAGTAAAAAAAAAACACTAAAAGATCAGTAAAAGCCAAAAAAACTCCAAAAAACCAAAAAAACACGTTTTTTTTAGGCGAAAAAAACATGATACCAAAAAAACACGTTTTTTTGCATCTCTAATTATATATTTCTTCCTTAAATGTAGCACTTAATAGTGATGAGAAAACAGAGTCTTTTATTTAAAAAACTTTTTAAACCTTTAACTAAAACATGTGGTAAAAAGATTTTTTATTTATTTCCTTTTCCATTTTTCTCTTTAGTACTATTAAATTTTATAGAAATATGATGACGGTTGTATAACTTAAAAACTTTTTGTGAACCCATTTTCAGATATTTGTTAATGTAGTTATGCCACGATTATCTCTTAACTGTTAACAGTATTATGTCATTTGTCAATTCCAAATTTGGACACTGAATTGTACCTTTTTCTTTGCATAAGCAATAGCAGTAAAGATTACTGCTCTATTTGAATAAAAATGAATTTTTAACAACAGTTAAAAATTCATTTTCATTCAGTTCAGTGTTTTCTGCTTCTTCACTGCATTATCACATTTTTCTGTTTTATCAATGTTTTTTGTAATAGTAGTTTTTGTACTAGTTGCTTTTCCTTATAGCTTTCCAATATCTAACAATGTTCTTATTTGTATGAATTATTAGCTAATCTAATCTTTGCACCCTCTATCTCTATAAATTTCTATAAACAATTAATTTTCTATCTTTATAAACCTATTATTTGCCCATGTATAAAATATTGTTTTCATATTTGGGTTGGTTCTTCTAATTCATAAATCAAATAAGCATTGGTTGGGACAGAAACAATCTAGTTATAAAACATTTATTACAGCAAAATAAAATTTCCTTTTACACACATACACACAAAGTAGCAAAATGAATATACCATACACATCCAATGTTGCAAACACAGTTGCTTCAAGACGTGGACTTGATGACTTACAGGTATAGTTTCCTTCATCCACAATACTAACTGATTTTATAAATAGTGTGCCATTTTGAAATATATTTATTCTGTCATCTGACACAACAGCAGAGTTTGTATCTCCATTCATTAAAAACCATGAAACCTTAGGTTCTGGATAACCTTGAGAAATACAGTCAAAGTACATAGAGTTCCCATAAAGAACTTTTTGATTTGAAGGTTTTGTATGAAACCATTGAATAGCTTTAAGAAAAAAATTAAAAATTAAGATAAAAACATTAATCAAACAATAAAAATTAAATAAAATTTATAATGAACAAATTAGTAAATTGTTGAACAGATACTAACGTTGAACAAATACATCAAAAGTTTTTGTAGCAAATCCCTCAAAGTTCCAAGCTTCACACACATATAAGCCACCATCCTCCCATGTTATATTTTCAAATTCAAAAAAGCTAATTCTTGTAGTAGACATAAGATCATATTTAACAACATTGGCATTAGGTTGTATGTTACGCCATCTGTAAATCGAAATAGGATCAGAATGAGCTTCACAAGTTAGTTTGACAGCAGTGAACATTTTAATGTTTAACTTGACTAATACTTCATTAAACCGGGGCAAAATAGCAGAAGTACCTGAATATAATATTTACAATTTATATAAACTCTTATTATTTATTAACATTTAAAAAAGTTATGTTATAACTATTTATTAAAAGTAATAATTATTGTTAGAATGTTATAATTATTTATTAACACTGATACTGCATATTTTATTAATAGTTTCACTACATGATTAAATTCTTTATTTACCTTTATTTATTATTTCATTATTACTTTTTTATATATCAATAAATAAAGATTTATCTGCATATGAAGTATCATTAATAACATGTATATATACATACATATATACATACATACATACATACATACATACATATATACATACATACATACATACATACATACATACATACATACATACATACATACATAAATACATACATACATACATATATACATACATACATACATACATACATACATACATACATATATACATACATACATACATACATACATACATACATACATACATACATACATACATACATACATACATACATACATACATACATACATACATATTAGTTATATATTATTATAATACAGATTAGTTTATAATTAAACTGCCTATTTATTTAGATATTCTTAGATATGCTTTAGATATTCTTGGAATTCTACTTAAAGACTTATTCAATTGCCAAAGTAAATTTTATGCCACTCACTAATAAGTTTTTTCCACATCTTTTACATCATTAGGCATTGGTTTTAACTCATCTCTATAGAAGAGAAATCTGGTGATTGGGGAAGCCAACCATTCTATTTAATACTTGACTATTCTCTAACTCACTCAAATAACTTAAACAATGTTTTTAAGAATATGTTTTGAATTTAACCTTGGTGTTGTTTTCTTTTTAAAAAAATGAATGGCTTCCCCAGTACCATACCCAGCCGTAATCTCATACCGTTTTACCGATATGGGCGCCCAAACTAATGCACCCAAACTAAAAACTGCACATATCTTAAATTACAACATTTGTAATGTCTAACATTATTTCATAGAAAAAGTTGTCTTTCTCTTTTCAATTTGTTTTCATTTGTATTCCTTTGTATTTATAAAATTACTTACGACGACAGTCCTAAAACTAAATGCACGGCTAATGACTTTTTTTTGTCGTTAGCCGTAATACTTTATGTAATACTTTAAGTATTACAACTGGTTACGTATTTTATTATCAAGTTAATTAATAATTACAAAGGAGTGTTTATATCTTACCTGATAAAGTTACGAAGAATTTTCTACAATTTTTTTACATTATTAAACAAATTAAAAACAACCGCAATTATAATTTTTTGTCAACGGAAAAAGTTCAAAATTTGTAATAAAAACTATCGAGGTACAATTTTATTATATACTTTTATCCTTTTTTTTTTTTTTTTTAGAAATATGTCATGCTGACTAGAAAAGTTTTTCAATTATTTTATCGCATATTCAGAAATCCTTGACAAAACAAAGTTTATAGTTACAAAATTAATTTTTTTAATGAATGTTTAGGAAGTTTAACTATTTCTTCAACTTATTGTTTTAATTTGATTATATTTTGCTTCTACACTTTTTAATAAGAAACTAGTATTGTTACCAAGTTACTTTCGGATAAAATACTTGTTTAATTAAATGTTTGAGGAATATTTTCTAATTTTTAATGTTAACATAATATAAAGTTAAATCGAAGCGTTATCTACAAAGGAGAACAAAATTTAAAAGTAGTATTAAATTTGCACATGCAATTGAATGGAATTACATTCAAAATTTCCCTACAGAAAAACTTTTATTTAAATTAATCGAATGGAAAAATAAATAACATTTGCAATAAGATTTTAAATTTACTTTTTCTCTCTATTGATAATCTGTACTTTTAATAATCTGTATTATTTGCTTATAAATTTATTTGTAGACTTTTTTTTCAAAACATAAAAACTTATTTTATTAATATCTGTAAATAAAAAAAAATATACTTTTAACTAAATATTTGTAAGTTAATATTACAAATTTTAGAATAGTCAGACCATGTTAATTTTATAAAAGATCTTGGCGATCCAGACATTGAATCACATTTTTTTTTTTTTTTTTTTTTTATTTGCATTCACTCCCAACAAGGCTGCAAGCAACCACTATTAAGTTGTTAGTTACTGGGGAAAAAAAAAGAACAGAGTTATAGAGCAAGGAAACGGTTGACAGAAGACTTGAAAAGTTGAAGGTTGTATGAGTCAGGAAAACATGGAGATGGGAGAGAGTTCCAAAGGATTGAAGTGCGGGGAAAAAAACTAGATGAATAAAAATTTTTAGAGCATGCAGGGACAGGTAAAGTTAACGAATGAGACTTAGCTAAATGACGAGTAAAACAAGAATGAATTTTAGTTGATGGAACTAGAGATGATAACTCCTTTGAGCAGTGACCATGATAGTATTTGTAGAAAAGAGAAATAGATGCAACTTTACGACGCTGGGAAAAAGGCTCAAGCTTAGCAGATAGTACAGGTTCAACAACTTTTACAATGCGTTTTTGGACCTTGTCAAGAAGAGAAAGTGAATTGTTAGAAGAACCGGACCAAATATGACAACAGTATTCCATACAGGGACGAATAAGAGATTTGTAGAGGTAGAAAATGGAATCAGAAGTAAGGAAATGACGAGCACAATAAAGAGAAGCAACCTTAGCAGAATCTAATTTAGCAATCGATTGTATATATGGTTTCCATGAAAGGTCAGTAGTAAGCGATAATCCAAGAAGACGTAAAGAGGAAGACTCAGTAAGAGGATTGCCATTCATTAATATAGGAATGTTGACCATATTACGGTAGTTGTTTGTAGTAAACAACTGGGTTTTGTTAGAGTTGAAATTCACAAGCCACTGTGAATCCCAATCTATTACTGAAGTGAGATCAGATTCAAGATCAGCTGCTTGTTCTAGGCGATCAAAAAGAGAAGACTTTTTGTCAAGACAGGAGTATAAAGTTGAGTCATCAGCAAAAAGAGCTACTTTAGATGAAAGGTTGTCAGGAAGATCGTTTATGTAGATAAGAAACAAAACAGGGCCCAGGATGGAACCTTGGAGAACCCCAGAAGTTACTGGAAATAAAGAAGAGTGTTGGCCTTCAAGGATGACTTTAATAAACCGGTTAGAAAGAAATGATTTGATAATCTCAAGAACTTTCCCAGAAACACCATATGAAGCAAGCTTATGGAGAAGACCAGCATGCCAAACTTTGTCGAAAGCTTTAGATATGTCGAGAGCAATAGCCCTAGCCTCACCGTCTCCATCTAATGCACGATAAAATCTTTCAGTTACAGCAGTTAGCAAGTCGACCGTAGTAGCAACAGAAGCCGGAGTGATTTGAATGTCTAACAATGGGTCAACCTGTTTGACTGGAATGGAAGGAAGAGAATGTCCATAATATTCAAGAGTGGAATTAGAAGAAAAGTTCTTTGCAAATAGTTCTGCCTTATCCTTGGGAGAGGTAATAAGATCAGTCCCATGAATGAGAGATGGAATGTTAGATCTACCCGTGTTAATAATGCTGTTGAAGATTTTCCAAAAGTCTTTAAAGCCTAACTTCTGTGATAAGATGCGAGATTTAGTGAACTGAGAATAATGGAGTTTAGCATCAGAAAGCACCTTTTTACATTGATTTCTAGCAATAATAAATAGCCGTTTGTTCTCAAGAGAGTTGTTCTTTTGAAAAAGATGAAAAAAATGATTACGATTGGATATAGCAGCTGCACAAGGAGAAAACCATGGAGTAGAATGAGGCTTGACTTGAAACCGACGAGAAGGAATAAAAGCTTCCATTCCAGCCTGAATCCAGGAGGTTACGTAGAGGCGCATTTATCAGCTGAGAGAGAAAAAACATCAGCCCAAGGATCATCACGAAGAAAATCACGAAAAGAATCCCAGTCAGCTTTAGGGTAGTAGTAGGTGGTGCGATGATAAGATGAACCCAAAAAAGAAGTATGAGAAGAAAGATTTATAGAGATCATTGCATGGTCAGAACCACCTAAGGAAGAAAAGGGAGAAACTGAACATAAGCTAGGGTCAGAGACAAGACATAAGTCAAGGAGTGAAGGTAAATGATTAGGGTTGTCAGGAAAACGAGTCACAAAGTTAATTATCTGAGTAAGAGATTAAGAAACGCAGAAGTTAAAGGCTTTAGTGCCAGCAGGATCAGTGGTGTTAGAGCCATGCCATTCAGTGTAATGAGCATTAAAATAACCAACAACAACAATAATGGCAGAGGGGTAAAGAGAGAAGGCATGGTCAATTTGATCAGAGATAACATCTAAAAGAGTGCAATCATGGGAAGAAGGAGAACAATAAAGAACAAAAAGAAAGGTGATAGAGTGAAGAGGTGCTAGGCGAAAGCACATAAAAAAATGGTCAAAGGATTCGAACCTGATTTCACAACAAATAGGGGAATTAATGCGTATGTATACCCCTAAACCTAGGATGTGACTATTGGAGTCTTTTTGAATCAAAGGATGGTACCCATCAACACTGACATCTGAAGAAGGAATTGCATAATTTAAATTTGTTTCGCTGAGTGCAAGCAAGTCTGGTGAATTTTGCAGGAGGTAAGACTCAACTGACGGAAAGTTGCAGACCGCAAATATTTGTAAAAGATATATGAAAACATTTAGGTGGTGGGGATGGTTTTTTAGGTTTAAAATTTTTGGTTACTTTGGTCATGATTTGAGTTTAATGAGAACTTGACTCATTCATAGATAGAGCACAGCCTCCTAATCAATGAGCTATGCAGTTGTCTCAGTCCTGTTAATTAACCCAAAGCTGTGACATAGGGCTTCTTATGTGGCCTTGACAATACACACCAAAAGCATTAACAGGGACACCATCCATGCGCAACATGGCATACATTAATACTTTGATATTTTGCAGCTGTTGATGGAATCAGCCTCTCTGAGAGCTACCACAGAGTTCGAGAAACCCTACTACCAGCCGGCCTCAGAACCATTAAACTGAGTTTTAGAGCTGTACCCTCATATGGAGATAACA